TTCATCATTTTCATTAACAAATCATAAATCCCAACAAGATTATAATTTTCAATTTGAACAAAACAAATTATTTTGGACATATTAATTGTTAGTTTTCAAGGTTACAAAATAAATTATCATAATAAATCTAATTAACAAATATTGATTATATTTATTTTGAATGAAAAAACTAAAATTTAAAAATCTATTATAGTTATGATATTTTATACTTTATTTGTGTATTTATTTATTTAATTTGTCATCCGGTTTGATACCGATTCGACTCCGATTCGACCCTTTAAACCTCGACCCTCTTCCTTTTTCGGGTCGATGCCCGGGTCCATTTTTAAAAATTGGTAAAAACACACTTATCATGATAAGAACAAATCATAAACCTGAATAATGAATTGGTCAATACTACGACCTTTCAATACAAGGTGCCAACTCATACATTGGTTGTGAACAAATTATTTATGATCAAAATATAAGTTGTATCACACTGTACTTCTTAACGGAAGCACCCAACTTATATTATCTCAAGTGATCGTAAGCACTTTAATTTGCATGCTTAATGATAAATAATGCAATAAATAAATAAAATCACTACTTATAATTATTTTATCATAGAACACTATACTATATGGGCACACAACCCAACAATTTCATCAATCACCTATAGGATTCTTGGTAGGTTATTTATTTATTTTTTCCAGCTGCTCTTCTTTATCAGTTAGCCATCTCAAGATCCCGCAAGTTTGTATCTCAATTAGCATTCGTTCCTAGTCGAATCTTCCAAGAAAATACAGTAACCCATTTTCTACTAGGAAAACTTTTTTGTAAACGGGCTTATGTTTTGAATCCCTTCACTCCAAACATAACACCTAGGACTTTAATGACATGTTTCGTAAGGCATATTAGGCATGCACTTGCAGTTTTCAGACAGTAAATTTGAGCGTGGATATGACGAAAACAAGAATATACCTCTCCCTAATGTAATTGGAGTTGGAGAATTAGATTGCAGAATCAACTCCGACCATCAGAACACCAGGAATCTTTGTTGCTTCCAGATATTGCTGAATGTTCCTGTAAATAGAAGTCCTAGAAACTTTACTTAGCACTGCCGTTCTTGGCCAAGTCACTTGTAAGAGAATCTGGGCGAAAGATATAGCTACCTGGGTTATAGAACAGCTCTAAAAATTAGAAAATCGTGCTACACAACAAAAGAATGATATATATCATAGAAATTGTTAACTTTTTACAACGATCAGAAGGCCTATATCAACATATGAGAAAACTGCAACAAAGAAGGCTCCCATTCAAGCAACGAAATCAAATTTATCGATCTTCCATAAAAGAATCATCGCGTCTATGTCAAATAAACCTACCACAGCTGATGTAACGATAGAAGTCAATATGGCATTCATGAAGTATTTGAACAACAAGGTGATCACTTCCAACGCAAGACATGACGATGTTGGACACTGCTCACAAAGATTGAATTAAAAGTTGATCAAAAGCAAAAGTTATATTACTTCATTTTAATGAATGACTATACTATGATTTTCTTCGTGATCTGATTACTCACAACCTGGATATCAGAATGAGATATATAGACGAAGAAAGTCGAAATGATGACTGAAATCAATGGAGCAATTACTGGAATTCAGAACAATTTCCTGTCCTTTTGCCCTGCTCATGACATAAAGTAACTAAGAAGATTCGAAATTGTTTGGATTCTTACAATGTACTTGGCAAGGATAGGGAAAACCAAGAAAGTGACTCCTAGTATAGGTTTGGGATTGGGGTGGTACAAATAAAAGTTTTGGTATAATTTTTAAAAAAAAAAAAGACGGATCACACTTGAAATTATTCATTTTTAATTTTGACAAATTTTATTGTTTTTAGTTTTGATACATGAGGATTTTCCGCACCTCAAGTTTCATACAGTGATTGTTTTCCAACAATTTCGAAAGGTGGGGTATTGCAAAATGGCCTTGGAGTATTGTGCCAATATGCATTTATTTAAAAGATATGAAATTATAAAAGGTCAAAGCCACCTAATATATAACCATCCAAATTGAAGTAGAGTACAAGTTAAATGGTGAAAATAAATTCTTTAAAATTAAATTATAGTACTTTGAAACTTTATATTTAGATTTAGAAATACATAATATATCCCCTCTAAATCAAAATTTTAGGCTCCAACCCCTGCATTAGCATGCAGGTTCTTTTTCATGATTGAGAAGTTGTGTGAAGGAGAAATAGAAAATGATGGGGCTTGGAATGGTGTTAAATTACTGCCACGGAATTCGATGACGATAGAAACTCATGGAGAGTTTTGAAGAACTTGATAATCAAACTGAATCCAAATTCCAAATTGTACGGCCAAAGTTGTTGTACTCTAATTGGCTTAGCCATTTAAGAAATTTGGTTTTGCAATGACAAGAAAACGAGAAAAATAGTTAGGCTATTATTTTGTTTCTCGGAAAGAGGACCCTCATAAATTATATAGACGTTCAAAATTTATTTAACCAATCCTTAATTTGATGTCGTAATAAACATTGAAGAAGGGGCTAAATTTTTTCATTAATTGAGATAGAAATAATAGAAAAAATATTGTTCAAATATAATAGGCATTTTGGTAACTTCACTTAAAAACTCATCCGGGCAAGAATGGGAGTGGATTAAAAGCCGAGTTAAGGAATTGATATTAGCCCCTCCGCCCCATAAAGATAGACTTGCACTATTTTTCTCAAATTATAAGTCATTTTCATGTTGAGAGTATAATTGATTTCTTAATTTTTTAATATGTTCTATTTAATGTGCTTTGTTATCAATAAATATGACTAATCTTATTTAAATCTTTATTCAATGTAGTGATATATAAGAAAAACGTACAAAATTTATTGTTCCAATTATATATATATATGTTGTGCATGTGACTCATATAGAGTGGAACACATGTTTTGGATCAAATGGGCCGATACCAGCGCGAAGTAGAGCGATGGCATTGGTTTTGCGTGGGTTTAATTCATTGTCTAGTTGTTAGGGACGTTGAATGGGTTGGGGGTGAGGGGGCAACGCCCCGCAGTACAGTACAGGGATATTTCCTGTACGGACGTTAAAGTCTTATATGGGCCCAGGTTAGGGTTAGTATAAATAATATGTTGTAACCTTATTTATCACACTGAATAAAGAAATCTCCGCTTCGCTCTCGTGGACGTAGGCACACCGCCGAACCACATAAATTCTTGTATTGATTTTCTTTTTCATCTCTTTAATATTGCGCATAAAATCCAACAATATCTCCGTGTGAAAAAGGAAGCAATTTTATCTTGACTAAATATATTCAGACCACAGCTTTTAATAACTAAATTACACTTGAATTACATTGAAGGTTTTATACGTTATCATTTATGTCTCAATTTTTCCACTATATTCTTACCCTCAAACTAACATAAATTATTCCTAATTTTGATTTTTCTTAAAAATTTTCTTTAACATAGAGTAAAAAGACTTCTTTGCCCATTGTATTTTTAAATAAGCAAGAAAAAAAATACAAAAATGCGATTAATTTTTATTCCTCATTTTAAAGCACGATAATTATAAGAACAAAATTTTATCATCAATGAAATGTTAAAAGTAAGGTTGAAATGAAGGAAAAGATTAAGACTATAAATGTGATAACGAATAAAGATTAATAACCTTCAATGTAATAAAAATGTGGCGTAAATATAATCACTCTTCTATCTTTGTGGAACAAAAGGAGTATAAGATAATAATTTTGATGTAACATACACTAGCATTGTTTTTCTCATTCCACCAGAAATTAATGTACAAAATCAAATGTTTCACTATCATTGATCCAAATTGCAAACTGATAACAAAGAAATAGTCAGTCCTCCGATTTATATTACATTTTCAATATAATTCGGACTAATATTTACACGGTGCAAGTGGGAATGGGCACAGATTATCAAAAAAGGCTTCATCTTCAGAGTGAGATTCGCTGAGCTATGGGAATGGATGGTCGCCAAAATAGATGGTTATGCCCTTAGAATAATCTAGTATCTTTAGTTTCATAAAGATCCCGATGATATAATTCCAAATCGTTTTATAGTTGTAATAGGTACCTAATCAAGTCCCTCGACTTAATAGAATACATAAAACTAACTAAAGTACAGAGGCAATTTGCCACAGAAACAAATGAAAATCAGCACCTAAATCTACTGCTACATCACATATTGCATATGCGTAAACTTAAACCCAATTTCTTTCATTGACAAGAAACCTTCGACAAACTTCATCACATACCCATCTTTCGGCTTCAGCAAGTCAAGAGTGAAACTTTCTTTTGCTTTATACAATGGACCTCCTCGAGGTGGTGAAAGGAACACCACACCCCCCTAAAAAATGAGAAGAACTTTGAATTTAGGAAAATATAATGTTACGCTTGCAATATTAGCGAGACAGTCAGCAATTTTAAATTTTGTACGATAACGGGTCATGTCCTAAGATTTATAATTACAATTGTGCCTATTATTATATTTATCAACCACTTCCATGCCAAAATTCATGCTTAAATCGTATGCCCAAATATGAAGCTGCAACATGCTCACAAGATGATAACAATACAACAAATGTTTATTTGGCAGTCAATGTACCATTATACCTTCCAAGCAGTGTGGTTGGAGAATCCATTTGAGAACCGACTTATCATTCTTCACTTCCGAGTTTTGAGAAAGCAAGATTTCTTGTCAGACATTCTACAATTTTGTCCACTATAGAGAGGCATAAAAGCATGCCCAGAAAAGAGTATTTCTACATAGAAAGGATAAAAAGATATAACAAAGCTCCCCTACTTAAGACAGGTTAACCATTGAGAACAAGAGTATCTTTCTGGATCTCCCTATAATAACAATTTCATTCTAGTTGAGTTGAACAAGGCATAAACATAAGGCCAGGTATTCTATCCGACTCTCAACAAGATTTGAGGAACAAATTAAGTAAAATATATGAATAACTAAATAAATAATCAATGTCATACTCCAACAAACTTGGGCCGTATAATACTGCCTAAACAAGTAGCACAGCATGGTCCATCCTTTGCATAAATGTAGTTTCTACCAAATTTAAAATTTCGATATCTTAAGTACCGTCAAAAAGGGAGCGAGTTGGAAAAAGTCTCTTACAATGAAATCAATAAAATCTTCTAAGCCATAAATCTTTCCATTATTATATGCCATTGCAACCTTTTTTGGGTCAATGTCGATTGCAACAACACGTTGACACCTAAATGTAGCAATGTAAATGTCAATTAACTGCCATTTCTAGTCATTGAAGATTCTATTGATGCATGGGAAACAAAGAAGAAAAAGTTTCAAAATTCATGTTCATATAATATTAAACATATTCATATGGCTACAATGAAAATAAAAGATGTATAAACTTTTTAAATGACTCGTACCACATATCAATGGCATGTTGGAAACTAATAAAACTAATGAAGAAAAAGAAGCTAAAATCTTGTACATTGCTCGGCTACCGAAGTGTACGAAAAATGTAATAATAGTGTAAACCCTATGAAATTGGAAGCTCATTCTTCCAATAGTCTCAAGCAAGGCATATAGGATTAATCAACCATGCAGTACTAGAGTCATTGAACCCATCCCAGACTGAACTAAAAGCTGAATCCAACTACCATCCAACGAAACCTGACCTTACTAAATGATTAAATTGGCATACAAAAATTGGTTCATTATCATTCCCACATCCTATTCACATCCTCCATTCCCATTGGTATTGGATACAAGGTTTAGCACATAACTTCCACTGTAAAATTTCCACTAACTAAAATGAATAGTTCTTCCCAATTTGGAACTCACCTAAACACAGGAAAACTGTAAAAGTTAGGATATGATCAAAAGTAAGGGCCACAAATTATTTACATTTTCTCCTTTAATTTTTCTAAAGAGCTTCTGAAATATTGTATTTACAGTAAGCTCCAATTAAAATATTATAGTATAATTAAATTGTTGTTATCAGCACGCCAAATTCATAATTAGAGTGTTAAACTTACATTTGTGCAAACTGAATGGCGTTGCCACCGACGCCAGCAAAGGCGTCGATGACCACTCCGGCACCCACACACCAACGCGCCTGCCGGGCAGTGATTTCCTCTGGAGTGACAGAAAACCAACTTTCTTCATCCATTTTGATACCCTAGTTATATCTTGAAAAAAGATCGTACCTTTGAAACCAGTACTTTTTTACAAGTGGAGTAACATTTTCTTTTTCCTTCTCTTTTTCTGCGAGTTGGGCTCTCGTTCTTGTCTTGATTTTAACTGCTACAGAACAGAAAACAAGAAAAGGAATAAAAATAAATTAAAGGGTCAACAAATCAGTGATGAATTTTGGTACCTCATCATTTAAAAACCTTGCCTTTTTTCTTTGCAGGTGCCTCTGTGGATGAAGGATCTTTGGAAGGAGAAATTTGTAGAGTTGTATGAATTTGAAGTTTTTAACACAGTGGCACTGATTCTGGGAAATGAACAGGTGAAAGGGAGGAGATGAATTAAAGGAAAAAGACGCTTTACAAAAATGCTTGATGCTTCCCCAGTTATAATTTATTAGGATAAACCGATTCAGCCAGCCCTCCAATAAATTGGCGCCCTGTTTTTTGGCTTGGCTCCCAGCAGAATTCAATTTATTAAGCGCACAACCCAATTTGATCACCCTGCCGTCATTAGTACCCTCACCAGTGACCACCCCTATATTCCACTCATAAATAAGAATATACCCGCATTAACAATGCCTTCAAATTTCTCACCTTGTCTAGACTTTCACTTTCTCCAAAACTACACTCCACTCTACAGTGGCATTGTTCTTCAAATTCCCAATCTTCTGCATTTTCATGCTCTGTTCCTGTGCCACTTTCTTCACCCCAGCTTCCTCCGCATCGCCGGCTCCCGCTGTGGATTGCTCCAGTTTTGTGCTCAACATGGCGGACTGCCTGTCTTTTGTGACCACCGGAAGCACCACAAAGATGCCTGAAGGAACTTGTTGTTCTGCCCTTAAAACTGTGCTCAAAACAGACCCCCCAATGTCTCTGTGAAGGCTTTAAAAACAGTGCACAATTTGAGGTCACACTCAATGTTACTAAAGCCTTGGCTCTGCCCTCTGAATGTTATGTGTCTGCGCCTTCTATTAGTGACTGTGGCAGTGAGTTCCCGTTTTCTTCTGCTATTCTCTCTCTCTGTGCAAAATTGACACCGTATTTTATTTTCCATTTTCATTGTAAAATAATTTTAGCAAAATCTCAAATTTTTTTTGGGTATCCTGATCATTAATTCATACATACATTCTTCAAATTTTCATCATCTGTATTTGCCGTGAGGATTGGCTCTATCCCTGGTGCTGCCACAGGTACACACAGATCTCCTCAATTCTTCATATTTGTATCTAATTTAATCTGATCTTATTTTAGAAATTATCACACAGTGACAATGTAATATCTCTAGCAATGAACCAAATTATAATTCTGGTTTTACTGTTTTCATTGGGTTCAATTGTAATTGCCGAAGAAGGGACTAAGAGCATCTCAAAGTACTCTTTATTTTTAAAAGAGCATATTCTATAATTCATAGAGCATCAAAAATTTTAAAAGTAAAAATTCAATAAGCTTTTTATATTTAGCACTTAATTTTATTATTCCTTAAAATTTTTTTTTCATATCTTATATTTTCGCCAGTTTCCTTCCAAATTATTATATTATTTTCTCACCTTGAAATTCGAAATACTAGGTTTGGGAGGAAAAAAACAAGGCTTGCGAAATTAAGCGTTTATTTGGGCAAGCGGCTAATTATTTCCATTTACATACTAATATTTGGTTTAGATTGCTGAATGGTGGCCACTATTCTTAAGTTACCTTCAAGTTTCGATTTTGACAAGCATAATTCTTAAGAGTATTTCAAAACTTGTTTTTCTAGAAAAGTAACTTCTATGCTTAGCCAAACATGCGCCTGGTAAGATAGAGTTTACAAATTTCTCATTGCAGCTCTTTCTCCATTGTCATTGCCTCCTAGCTCAGTCGTTGGTGCTCCAAGAGCCGGTATTGCTGCTAATGAAATTGCTCTCACGCCAGCTCTTGGAAGCTCTGGTTCTTGTGGACTCACCATCTCTTTGGGAATGCTTTTCCTAACCATGGTAGTTGCTGCACCACTTGCTATCTTCTGATCATTTGATCCTCGATTTACAGATGGAGATAGATCACAAGAGGGATACTTATTATGTTTGTTTTGCATTAACTATTATGGTTTTCTATGTTATTACAAGGCCTTTTGGATTTGAGACGTGGATAAATAGGATTATTGATGTTTGTTAATTATTCAATTATCGAACAAATTCCTAGCTTGAATATTTGATCAACATATAACTACTAAAAAATAGCTTTTCAGCTATGGAAAATTATCAACGGATGCAATCCGTTGATAATTAGAAACGGATTATCCGTTGGTAAAAATAATTCACTTTTAGCTATGATAATTAGCAACGGATTTTCCGTTGGTAAAGATGATATCTCTTTACCAATCGATATCCCGTGCCTAATGTAATCATTTAACATTTGGATCTTCCTCCAACGGATATTCCGTAGGTGATGTATCGAATATTGCCAACGGATTGTATCCGTTGGAAATTAGAAACGGATTATTCGTCGGTAAAAGTAATTCACTTTTAGCTACAATAATTAGCAACGGATTTTTCGTTGGTAAAGATGATATCTCTTTACCAACGGATATTTCGTGCCTAATATAATCGTTTAACATTTTGATCTTTTACCTACGGATATTCCGTTGGTAATTAGAAATAGATTATCCGTTAGTAAAAATGATATCTCTTTACCAACGAATATTTCGTGCCTAATATAACCGTTTAACATTTTGATCTTTCAGTAACGGATATTTCATTGGTAATGAGAAATGAATTATCCGTTGGTAAAAATAATTCACTTATCCCACATCGGAAGTTTACAACAATATCTTTATAATTGCCCTCTATAAATTTGTGGTCCAATAAGGAGTTAAACAATATTTTGGCATTTCAATTCAGTTGGCTAAAAATAAAAAAATATTATAATTATTAAATAAATAAATAAATAAATAACTTTTTTACCATACAATTATTTACAACATTGATTTTTACCAATCGTAATGGTAGACATTTACCAACGGAAAATCGGTTGGTATTGGTTAAGACTTTTACCAACGGAAATTCGATTGATAAAAGATTCACACTTTACCAAAGAAAAATCCGTTGGTAAAATGTTTACTCTTTACCTACGGCATGATCCATTGGTAACTATCAGCGACCCTCAAATTACCAACGAATTTGTGGTTGCAAATATTCCGTTGGTGAAGATTATTAGCAACGGATATTGAGGTTTTAGGAACGAAAAATTCGTGCCTAAAACTCTGTTTTTTAGTAGTGTATATTTGTATTAACTGACAAAAGAAATCACAGCAAAAGGAACCATATAGTAAGCAAATTACAAGAAAATAAAAGGTATTATACATGTCAAAGAAGCTTCTAAACATAAAAGCCAACTCTACACTCTTCTCCACGAGTTTGATATTTCACCATCTTCAATCAAGATTCCTCAGATATCCGCATGTTGTCCTCCTTGGAATGAAAATTCACTCGTTTCCAGGTTAGGTCGACTAGAAATGATCTCAAGGTTCCATCTTGGAAGCCAAAGCCGTAATGGAGTCCGCAAAATCCGATGCATGGAGTTTGTCAAGTACTACTTTCCCTGGATTTGATAGAACAAGCTGTGCAGGAATGGACATGAAAATGAAGTAATGTTTATTGTGATGCACTATCAGAAATGGCATATTTAATTCACAAGAATTGACACGATACCATGTCTTGAACATATATCCATCTACGTAAGAAGTAATGTGTAGTGCTCATATCCACCCACTTGTATCTCTCTCTTTTGGTGACTCTTATATAAATCTTCCAGGGCATGAATGCCATTGGTATCTATATCAGTTACAGATGCCCAAAAAAAAAAAAAAGGTTGGTAGCGTAAATTTAGGTTCATTTGGGAGTAATCAGGAAAAATATGGAATACTACAAATCCTTACGAGACATTTATGTTGGAATGTGAAAGCGGAATTATCTAAAAATTAAATAATTTCTGTAATTCAATAAACAAGATCGTCTAGATGTTCACGTGTATGTTATATAAAAAATAAAGTATTCGAATTTTTACCTAAATTCGATGAACAATTCTTGAATAAATTCTAAATCACGAACTTTTAGCTTTTTAGATTACGAACTTCCGGCTTTTTAATTTCAAGAACTTCATGCGTCAAATCTCCAACTCTTCTATGGTATTCTCTAAAGTCAAAACTACACTGGTGGGTGGGCACCTTCTTTTAATTAAATCAAGAAACCAATTTTTGAACTGAACAATTGAAAAAATCAAGAAAAATAATTTTTTTTCTCTCTAAAATTTGAACACCATGAAATGATATATTATGAATATTGTACAACTCCATAGGATGTCTAGAATCCATCTAATCTCTATTTATAGCGATAGAAGAGTTCCAATCCTTACACAATAATAATTCCATATTCAAATAAGAGTTCTAATTAAAATCCAAATAGGAGTTTTAATTAATTTGGATTTTAATTAAAGTCCAAATCCAATTAGTATACATTAATTACATGTATAGTCCTAAAACTTTAATTATAATTTTAATTAAGTTTACAACTTTCGTAGTAATTACAACTAAGTACAAAACTTTAATGTAATTACAGTTAAGCCCCAAACATATTATAATTAACGTAATTAAGTTCCAATACTTCATGAAGCTACCATATGGACTTGATCGGACATATATTATCCAAACTCCAATAATTAGATGTTGTCTAGTCGACCCTAGACCACCCAATTTAATTATTAGTCTTTACTTTTTCTATTAAAAGCAAAAGATTGAACTCATATAATAAATAAGATCACAGAAGCCAATCAATCTGTAATACTTTCCTCTAACCTGTCTTATATATATTTTATTCCTGTCCGAGATTAGATAATTAGATACGAGCAAAAATGACCGTTTTGCTTTTCTAATTATTCTCACTAACTTATGTACCATTTTTTTCAATAGTTCTGTAAATTAATAACAGATGTCGAAGTTTAGTCGTCGCTAAACATTTAGCTCAAATTTTAACAGTTCAACAGAAAATATTTAAGTAGTCATTTTACCCATATTTTAGGGCGATGGTTCCCGACACGAATTCATGTTTTCTACTCCACTCATTCTCAA